CATGTCGTCTACATCTGCTTGAGCACCTCCTGCAGCTTGATCCCCAGAGGAGACATCCGCTGGGAGTGAGGTTTGAGCTGAATGCCCAGGATCTGCCACAGACTCGAGTGACTGGAGCCGGTCAACAGCCCATGGAGTCGATCCTGCCGTAGTCCAATCTGTAGCTTCCAGGGTTGGCTCTTTCCTTCCTGAGGCTTCCCCATGGCATGGAACTTCTGGATCGCATCGTCCTGCTTGACCAGACTCAGCAACTCCTCCAGCAGTTCCTGGGCCTGGGACATGGTCATGGCCTGCTTTGTCTTGTTCAAGACAAGCCGCTTGTCGCGGGAATCCCATTGTAGGAAGGGCCAGGTGTGGTCCTCGAGCAGCACGCCGTTCTTGACCAACTGGGCTCTTATCTGACATTGGTCTCCGCCCGTCATCAGCTTCAGCAGCCGTCGTTGAAGCTCCCGCAGTAGCTGCAAAACCAAGTGGGCCCTCAGGGTCAGAGTTCGCTCCTTGGCATCCGACCACTCCTTGTGGGCCAGGTGCAGCAGGGGTACACAACCTTCCTGACTTGGCACCAAGAAGAGCAAGAATGTGTCCTGACGAGCCACTTGTTGAAGGTCCTGCTCGTGGCGTAGGACCAAACTGGCCATGAGGCGCATTGCATCCCTCATGGAGGGGTCCTTGTCCTCTGTCACTCGGCCTCGCTTGGGAGGTTCGCGCTTCTGTCGCTTGGCTGGGTCCAGGCCGCTTTCGCTGACCGATGATTGGCCCCAACACTGGAGCGCCGCCAATGATTGAGCCGTGAAGGTGTCCTCCATTGGGTCCGAACTGAAGGCGCTCATGGAGAGGCAAGGCGAGCAAGGAGGAGATCTGAATCAAGGTGGGGCAGGACAACAGATGTGCTTGAGCATCCATACGGGCCAATCCACAAAAGCGGCACCCCAATTCACAATCAAGAGGAGGCTCAAGTAGGCGAATGATCTGAGGAACAAACATCATGAGACCCCGTTCTTGACAGTGATGGGTGGTGAGTAGATGAAGTTGAAGATCACTACCACAGGCCTCTTCACCACACATCATGCATTGCTCACTCAAAAGCTGAAGCAGCCGCTCACAATTCCAAAGTCGATGAAACTCACGATCAACAAGCCAGCGTGGCACATCCGTGGCCAAGGGCTCCACCAGAAAGTCAGCAGGAAGAACCAACCTGGGCATGTCAGAGGTGAAGACCCACGGAACCAAGACGGTGTCGTTGATTCGGAGGTGAGTCATTGCAAGTTGGCGAAAACCCACACAATGATGATGTGCTGTGCTTTGTGCTGGGCCAGGATTGCAAATGCACCCCGTGAGTGGAAAAATGACTTGCTTGAGATGTGCACTCAGGGCCGTTGACTCATTCCACAACACATTGTGTTTGGTCTGGAGGTGGCGAGAGAGTTCCCGTGTGCTGGGAAAAGAGAGTCCACAACTCATGCACTGAAGGGTCAGTTGTGTTCGGGCACCAGCTTCAGTGAGGTATGGTCCAAGTTTGCCACTCTGCAAGGCTGATCTGAGGCTTGGACCAACATGGTAGAGAGGAACTCGCTTGGTGGCATCAAACAGCTTGCAATGTCCCTTGGTGATGTGGTTGCGGAGTACGTCAATAGTGGTGACCAATAACCCACAATGTGAACAAGCAGGCTCACCCTCGACGGAGTCCCGAAGAGGATCGAAACGATGGAGAGTCAACCGATGATCCTGCATGTGCATCGTCAGTGAAGCACGGGACGGAAAGTGCTGCTGGCAAATGTGGCAACACCATGGGTGAGGTGTCGAGGGAGCACCAGGCCCCCCAGCATCAGTGCCATCAGTCGTGGTCATAGGCGGAGTACGCAGGTCCTGGAGAATGGAGCACTGCAGCAAGATCGGACAGCCGTGTTGTCGACTCCATGGAAGATGACAAAACGGACAAGGAGTGCTCACGACGAAGTCTCTTTGGATACTCAGCATCTTGTCAATCCCCGGAAGAAGAACGTGTGGATGTTCATCACGAATGTGTATGGCCAGTTCACGGCTACGAGTACACCACTTGCCACACTGGATGCAATGATGGGCCATGTAGTCACAAAGTTCCCGATCATGCTGAATGTCCATCCATCTACCAGAACAGGCATAGTCCTGAGCTTT